TAATAACCCCTAATGCAACATAAAAACAAAGGATTCAAAGAAGAAAATTCTCTTTTCAACGAATTCACTTTCATAGCTGTACAATCGTATATATATATATATGTATATGAATTACAACAGATAATAACAATCAGATTTTTGTGTGTGCTACAGTTTGACAGTGAGTGGAAATACTAAAGTGCGATAATACCGGTGTATAGGACTATGAGTCACAGTTGATTACATAGATGGATGAATAACTAAATTGATAAAGGTCGACCTAAAGTTCAATAAACATGCGTGAAATAGATGATCGGAAAATAAAGTACATTTGGAAGTGTGGATATAATATGATGGAAACATAGGGTGAGTGAAATGTTGTCAAAGCAGTAGACTAGATAAAATGCTAGAATATGATAACATAAAGTTAAATGAAATAAAAAGAAAACAAAATTAGAAAACGGAATGAAAAAGGACAACAAAGTTGTTATGTGGATTGCATAGTAAAATTAAGACAGTGGTAACGAAAGAGACCGTACAAAGTGTTTTTGTACACAAAGTTCTGGCTTTATGTTATGTATTGCCAAAGCCTGTGTTATAAAAACAAATTCACTCGTGTCCATTTTCGCACACTTTGTCAGACTTTGTAGACTATATTAAACGATTTGTCAGATGCTGCGTGGTCAATATCTACAATATGTTGCAATAAGGATGAATTAGTACCTCTACGATCTCCTTTGCTCAGCCAAACTGAGAGGTGCTGTCGAACGCGGCGGAATATGTTTCTCGACGAACATTCTATGTAACTAGCTCCACAAGAGCAGATAAGCATATAAATACACATGGAATTGGACAATCGAGGTAATGTTTAAGGTGCACCAATGAACGGCTAGAAGAGGTTATTCGTAAAGTGGCAGCAAAGAACGTTTTTCTCAATGGTGTCGTCAGACGATTTTTAAGTATTTCGCCCGCAGTGTCACTTCTAAATTCTATGTTTAGATGCAACGCTTTTTCAGCTACCCTGTCAATCTCTGTATTTCTCCAACGTATTTTACTATCGGCCTCTACAAAGCGTAGTGTATGCCCGTTCTCTATGTAGGTTTCTTTGAGCTATTTGAGTTTATCATCGACACTATCTTCACTACAAATTCTCTGGATTTGATTCCTTTTTCTGTCTATGGGGACAAATCTGTAAAATTGGTTGACCTCTGTTTATTTAGTTATTCATTCATCTATCTAATCAATTGTGACTCATAATCCTATACACCGGTATTATTGCACTTTAGTATTTCCACTCACTGTCAAACTGTAACACACACACACACACACACACACAAGAAAAGTGATTGTTATTGTCTATTGTAATTCATATATACATATACGATTGTACAGCTATGAAAAATGAAATCGTTGAAAAGGGAATATCGTTTTTGTTTACCTATTTTATTTATGTCAGACACATACGTTCTACAGTTCACTGGAGCAAGGATTAATCATCAAGGCAGACATAAACATACGGATTTGTGTTTTTGCAGCTAGACTAAATGCCACACATGTTTTTATTCCTGAAATTTTTCAACTACTGAAAAAGTTTTATGATAGTATTTTACAAACTAGAAAAATTTCTTTTAATACGTTGACTTAATTTCATGCTTCTACAAATTCGGTGGAAAAATGACAATGTGCAAAGCCTTGGATACACTTTTATGTCTGCTAATTTAACAGTACTACTGAATTTTGAGTTCAACACTGAAATTCAGTAGGCCCTCTTACTAAATGTCGAATCTCAAATACTGATTACCAAATCATACTGACCCTCAAAGCCCAAGCAATTAAATACAGAAGACAGACTGATCAAAACCAGTGGGATCGATGATTTCATCTGATAAGAATACGTGATATGTACACTCCAAAAATCCCCGGGAGTTGAACCAGTGAATAAAGAATTGGATTAGTTTTATAACCTTGGGCTTCAAATTTGTAGAGTCTTCCTTTAATGATGAATGAGTGCATGATAAACAACAAGGGGACGACAAGTTCTATAAGAGAATTATTTGATTCCTGAATGTAGATGACACTAAAATTTGTTGTATTTAGAGTGTGAATACAAATTAGCTAGTGCCAGTGCCATCACACAATGATTTATTTCACTGAATCTTTGGTTCAGACCAGGAAAATGTTACTCACCTAGTGGTTTTATGGTAAATTCATGCTGTACTCAAAATTTAACTCCACAATAAAAATAGGTGACTTTGGATAAATCGTAGCATGTCTCCAATCATTGAATACATGCATTTGGTGACAGTTAAGTATTTCAAAATAAGGAATGATTACAAAAATATTTTTGCATATGACTGTGATAAAATCAACGAGTCTATTATTAATAATTACAGAGGAAAAAATTAAAGAATTAGGTGAGTTATTCGTTTCAGTTAATCCACTACATTTCTCTCTTGACGTTTAATTTATATTCACTCGGGAGTAGTAACATACTATTTAAGTCGTACTGTAATCGATTCATGTTCAATGCGAATGAAGTAGTGTCAATGAAAAATGAAGAATGCAGCGGGGAATAAATTTGGACAGCAGTCATGGAGACGTTCACCAAATGTATGTTAATAAACGCTGGCTTGGTTCGTTGAATTATCTATTTCGTTATCAAACATACTAATGTGCCATATGTGTAAAAAGAGCCATCTACTCCTAATGACGGCCTATTAAAACTAATAATCAAAATATCAAAAAAGGTTGCTCTTAGTTTCTATGAGGAAAATAAAAACTAGTTCTTTCAACAATGATTGCCGTACTTTCCTCTTCAAAGATTATTAAGACAAACATATTGTAGGAATTTTATCATCCTTCCACAACACAATGCACTTTTTACCAAAACACGCTTCATTTGATTGAATTACACTTGCATCGGAGATGCCAAAGCCACTATTATTCGATCGGAACTCGTCCCTGTGAAGTACTTGTCAAGCAAATTAGAGGGCAATGACAAAAAGATGCGGAATACTAGATGTGTTAAGTATGTAACTTCTGAAAATTGCATGTGTTCATGTATTGAAGAAGGTCCAATCACAGCTGCATAAATAAAATCAATATGCATGAGAATGTTGGAGCTAAGTCAAATGTAGTTTCATGCCATCATTCTTATTCAGACATTTTTTGCACTATAATTCCCCTATGAGCCCTACTTTATGACTTTTTTGTGTTTTCTGAGTAATTTCAAAGTTATCATAGACAATTTTATGACCTGATATTGCGTGTAAACTTATGGCTGAAGGTTATTCAGGCTTCTTGAACTCTATCGCAGTTTTCCAGGGTCGAATATATGATCTTCTGACTTTTACTTCCATTATCTCACAGCCTGAAAATCTTCTTTTGAAGGCGCAATTGAATTGTGAATTCCTAGAAATTTTATTTCCGACATCAATGCATCTGTTTTAAATGCTGAGTACATTCCTGGTGCTACTTGATATGTTTAGACTGCATGGTCAGGTAACTGTTGCGGTCTGTAATTTCAGAAAGTCCTTTTATGCTGTTTCCCGTCAACTGAATAAAATTTCTCAGGTAGTTATTTATTTAAAAAATTCGAACTTTTCCATTCCTTGTTCTTCCTTTCCCTTTTTTCGTTGTTGATGTGCACATCACTCTGAAATTGAAAAAAAAACGCTTGTTTGTGAAACTTTGAGTTTTGAGATGTAAATCTTTTTACAGTGTGATATCATCGTGGAAACAACCGAATCAAAAAATCAGTTATGCATTTTAGTAGAGGTGACTTGCCATTATCTGATTCTAGTTCTGAGATGAGTTTATTAATTAATGAGAGACTTGTTGCCCGACTAACGGTTTGTATCCTTTTTCGATGCCACAAAAATACAGTGAAGAAGTTGCTTTCTTCACATTAGGTTCATAATTAGACTTGTAAAATCGAACGAAGCAAGAGGATCCAATAGCATACAACCGGTTAGTCGATATAAATTCGCCTCAAAGGTAGGTTAGCTGTTCCACAGGCCTAATTTAAGCCGTTATCCCATTGCTTTTAACTGACAAAAATGTTCAGTTCTGTCATGAGTAGGATACCTAGTATGCAAGAAGCTAATATCACAGTTTAAAGTAACCAAGTGTTATTCAATTTTTAAATATGGTATTAAGGAGTGAAAACCAAATGTATTTATGCCCATGATTTTACTGAATTTCTCAAGATGTTTTAATATTGAGAACAGACATTCTGAGAGGTTACATGTTGACGAGGTGTAGGATCAACCATTGTTGTTTATGTAACCAAGATCTTGTGTTTCAACAGTCGATGGAGGAAAATTGTAGGCAAATAGGACTTCCAGTTTAGTTTAAAACAAAGTGAGCTCTCAATTTCAGGTACTGTTTTATCAAAGGATTTTTCTGTGTAAGGTTCAAAGTTACATATATAATAGCGATAAAGTCATCGTACCAACCTTCGTACTTCAGAAAATACTACAAACCCAATTACTTCTATCTGCTCATGCGAGGCTTCAAATTCTCATTAGGCTATGACTAATTACTTCTGTTTAATATGAGCAAGGGTTTTCCTCTTCAAATATAGTTTCATTTTTGATGTATTTCTCGATATCAGTAACTATATCAGTATATCAGTAACTGAATTTCTGTGCTTCAACGACTGAATAAACATTCTCCTAAAACATATCGGAATCTTGGTGTTGAAATCTTGCCTTTAGCATCACTAGCAATATTAAGTAAACTTGTGCCACATTTTATCCTACCCGCATGTCAAAATACTTTCTCAATCTTTTCACCTAAACACTAGGTTTCATTTCTGATACACATCAAAAAGTTAAAGTGTAAAACAGTAAGATTTCAAATAAAAGGATATTCAGCTCAGTTGATTGTAATTGCATGTGTCACAACTGGTACACCGACGGATCCATCGTATTGGCTGAGTGCTGATAGCTAACGACTATTTTATTTGTCATAATAATGCTGTTACCTTTCATTTTTTCTTAATTGTGTCTTATTAAAAGGGCCGATGAAACGTGAGTCCCATCAAATTTCTAAAAATTGGCGTTTAATTAAATTTTGGTTTAAATTATATTGTATGACAAATAAGTACATTATTTTGCTTCTCAGTGAACTCAGTGCATTTTCACCGGAACGAATTCTATCCGCAATTAAGTACTGTTACCTATAAAAATGAACAAGTCGGTTTTTACATGTTCATTTACGTCTTATCAGATGTTTAATGTTTCTGTACTGAACTAAGCATGATGAAATGAAGTCCGCATGCTTTCAAACGTTTATGATTACAATTGGTCATACAAAGAAATAAACTGTCCTAAAGCTTTCGAAATCATGTTGAAATACTGTAATTGAATAAAATGTCTATGCAGTGTGAAGAAAGTCGCATTCCCCCTTAAGAACATATTTTGAGCTCTTTTGTGCTGATCAAAATTATATATGACTTCGGCGATTATAAATTTGTATGCAGAGGTAAAACATCATACTGAGACTAAAATTATTACATCGAGAGGTTTTAACTATGTTACATAAAGGAATGATTGTTTTATTTCGTGATAAAAGGTCTTGCTTTGTACTAAATACCACAGCTTTTTCACAGATATCTATTTTAAAGGGTATGTTATAAAGTATTACACAATTATCAAGATAAAAAATTCATTTTGGCTCCCAACATATTAACTTTTTCAGCTTGCACATGCACCGAGGAAGGTCAGTGAAAATGGATTTTCAATATCAGTTTAAATTGCTAATTGAGTCCCTTCAGTCAGTTTAACGTAAATTTGATTTAATGTTAGTTAATAACACCACAGGTGTTAGATGAAAACCTTTACTTGAAACTTGTGGAATTGTAGTATTCTGTGCATAGTATGGTGAAACAAAACACAGGTAGACAGTTTTAAGTGACGTTTACTTTTGCCTTGAAATTTCACTAACAGCATCTGTCAATTATTAGTCCTCTAAACCATAAGGATAACAATTATTTTCGTGCACGAAAATCACCTTAAATGCAGATTTACGAACAAGTACTTTTTAACATGTAGTACGAGCGTAGGTCATTGGCCATTTAGACGATTCAGATTAAAAAGTGTGGTGAGTGACTGTAGGAATGTCTACAGTTTTTATACTTCAAGAACACATACAATTAGAAGAGTGGGAAACCAAACAAACTAGATCTGAAAACTATATGCACATTTGATTAAAATTATAACACCTTCCTTATGACAAGGTGCTTCAACACAAAATTAATTCGGAGCTATGCCCATACTTTAACTTTCGCTGGTACAAATCAGAAATGAAAGTATTGCTGGTCAAGGTCTAGATGTCTCAATGAAAAGCATCTAATTAAGGAAATACGCCCACTGTTAACTGAATTCGAGGTACTTATTAGGCATCTGAAAATGCAGCTTTATTTCATGGTGACAAATATTTCTGTTTCCGACATTATTAAGCGAAATACCCAAGACTTATTATCGTCTGTTTAGTTTTACATATTCTGAATAGCAGGAATAAGACACTAACAAAAATGACAGCATATATTTGAGTATATATACTGCAAAGCTGATTTTGAGACATCCTTAGATTAATACTGAAAGCACTGTTACTTGATTTACTTTATTTTACTGAAAAGTTAGCTGGCTTTCTAATTCTTTTAGATATCATAAAATGATTTAATTTGCATATAAAAATTTGAGGATTTCATTTGTGTGAGCCTGACGGAGAAGTACTGTTTGACGATATAATCACTGTAAAAATTCCCCTCTTCATTGTCATGCATAGTCTGTTTTCTCAAACAACTCAGATTGTAGGGTCTGCTAAGTATGGCTTTTATGTTATCAAAAGCTGCAGAAAATAAATACTCTCATGTTGTAATCTTTAATATTTAGACAGGAAACCATTGATGAAAATATTACTGACTATAATATAAATAACTGATAAATACGATGGAATTTTATCGATGAAAGTTACAGTTCAGAGTATAAATAAACTGACGGCTTGTAAGGTACTCGGTTTCCCCATGGACTGAACAGCTGCTGAGTAAATTATAACAGTGATTCAGAACTCGCAAACAATTTAGGGAATTCAAGGCTCGAGACTGCATGCCAAGTAATCCACAATAAGACAAGGCTGCCTAATATCGCCAATGATTTTCCTGATTGTAGTAGACTGGATAATGCGACAAACAGCGGACAATGAGGAAACAGGCATAAAATGGACTCACACAAAAAACTTGGAGGATCTGGACTTCACCGATGATATAATGTGTGATTTCCCACAAACTGGAAGACATGCAAGCGAAAAGCAACAAGTTGTCAGAAGAAGCATCCAGAGAAGATATGACTTCAGGTAAACATAGAGAAACAGAGGTAATGAAGATTCATGGACAAGAACAACAACAAAAGACAACGATCAGCATAAATGGAAGGGACCTGAAAGAAGCAACCTCTTTTACCTACCTGGGAAGCATCGTTTCAACTACAGGAGAACGGAACTGACGACGATATCAAAGCAAGAATCGGAAAAGTAAGACAAGCTTTCACTACTTTCAAGCCTGTGTGGAGGTCAACAGCACTCAGCATCAAAAATTTTAAAGAGCACCTCAAGCGAACTACAGACCTTCATTAACAGTTGTCTTCGCTCAGTACTAAGGATCAGATGGCCAGAAAAGATCAGCAACACAGAACTCTGGGAGCGAACCAACCAGGAGCCGATTGTGAAACAAATAGGCAGGAAGAAATGGAGGTAGATTGGTCATACTCTGAGAAAACAAACCATCAAGTGACATCACTAGACAAGCCATTGCTCGAGTGGAACCCGAAAAGAGAAGCGGCGAGTTGGTCGTCCAGAGGTGACTTGGAGGAGGTCATGTGAAGAGGAGATGAAAACGTGTGGGCAGACTTGGAGCCAGGTTAAGACTGTAGCAGAGAACCGAACTCAATGGAGACGCATGGCTGAAGCCCTATGTTCCTCTAGGAATGAAAGGAAACAATAATAATAATAAGGCTCGAGACAAGAGAAAAGATAACGCGTATGCAAATGTGAAAAACACCTTTATCCGAAAAAAGACTTCAACAGCCTTGACTAAACCATGCACGTACTTTGAACAACATCAGAGACGATGAAATTTGAGGCTCGAAAATATGGGTACGAAAACTTTAACTACTTGAGCACCATGATGATTCGTCACACACTAAGTAATTTTAGATAGCAATTTGTCAGTTATTAGGATTATTTCATTAATTCATTTCGCTTTATGAACGTGACGAAAGCAAGCATAGCAGTGTGTGCAGAATTATATGGTATCACCATTTATTTCGTTGGCTCTTAATTAGGTATTCACCACACAGCCTAGAGAAATTATAAAGTTTGCGTACATAAATAGTTTAAAGTACTTGCAAATGTTACATAATGTCGGTTGACAGCAGACTGGAAAATTATTAAACAGTGCTCAGAAATTTGACACATGGTCTATATTCAGAAAGTTTAAGTTTAAACAAAATAATTGCTTCAACACATTGGTAAAAGAGGTGAATTAGGTGATGAGTGGTTAATAAACTGAGTAACATCATGGTGAGAATAACTGGAATCATGAAAACAATAGATAAGCGGAATCTCACTATGTCAAGATGGTAACAGTTCAAGGTTAAAGATTATGTAATTGAACAAATGAGAGAGTAAAGATAAACACTTACCTGGGCAAGGAAGGACCGATAACTGCTTCTTTCTGAACACATAAATCAGGTTTCAGGCTATCAAAAGCGATTGCTTCATCAGGCATGAGGATAACTGAACTATTTTATCAGCTGATAATTTGAAAACGATTTCGGTATGTCTACCTCATGACCTGTACTGATGAGATGTCTGGCAATAGCACTATTGTAAACGCTTGTTCCCTTCAGACTTAAGCTTTTTGGTGTATGTTCAGAAAATTGATGGCGTACCCTTCTTTCTGTTCTCTTAACATGACTGCCACCGCAGATACATGTAAATTTACATACACAGAGTCAATATGAGTCAATACGTCATTCGACTTTCGAACGAATCAAAGAGCAGGTTTTCTGATAAACTGGAACTAAGTGGGCTGCAGGATAGGTTATGGTAATTGAGGTATTCAATCTTCCATTGGTTACTGTTGTTATGTTATTACCTATAAAATCGAGCTGAATGAAGATAGGCTTTTTCCCACTGTGAATTTCTTGGAATTAGAGCCTTCATATCTGCCTGACTTGTTAATGAAGCTCTGAAAGGTAACCGTTGGTTTTTAAGATCTTTTCCACATTCAGGAATCTTTTCTCCAATTTTTGTAAAGGAAATATTCTACTGACTCTATAAAACATCGTTTCCGCTAGCTCTCGTTTATAGCTATTTGGACAAAAGCTATTAAATTGCAATTACAGTCCATTCCATGTTGGCTTACTGTAAATTGACCTCTGGAGACTACCATCTACCATACGCTGCATGGTGATGTGAAGGAATGGAACTTTCCATCATTTCCATTTTCCACAGTTACCTGAATATTTGTTGGTTTGTGTGAGGGTTTCGCTGAATAATTCGCGAAGGTAGAAAGCATGACTTTCGGTGTTTCACACTACAAATTTGTCATCAACATATCAAGAATAGGAGGTCGTTTCGTCAATTTAATGCCTCAAACTTGTTCTCTCAAGGTTGAACACATAGATGTCTGCTAAAACAGAACTAAGGGGACTACCTATAGACACTCCATCTCTTTGGTGGTAGAGAGTGTTGTCTAACTGTAATGGTACATCACTGGTACACATTAGCAGAACGCGTTTAAATTCCGACACTTAGAATGGAGGAAAACCAGAACGCTAAGAAGTGATATCGATGGATTCATTCGTTGCGATCCTTGAGAATGAAGAGGTCACATCAAATGATACCATGAACTTATTGGAAATATTCATGTAGTTCAAGCTTCTGGTGAAATGTAGTAAGCAACTTTCTGCCGAAACTGAGTGATCATAGAAAGTATGGGTCTCGGTGGATCATGTTCTTTGTCTGTCATTGATAGGCTTTACATGTGAGCAAACGAGACCCTCAGGGTCTTAAGTCACTGTGAACATCGTTGTCAATTAATTTCTCATTTATTACCTCTCTCAATACGTTCGTGATGCGCTTTTCAGCTGCATTTGTCTTATCTTTCTGGCAGTCTTACAC